GGTCACACTTAGGTCGAGCAATTTCCCAGTGACTTTCTTCTCAGCAGCGAGAACGACACCATCAGCTGCTAAAACTCCGAGTACAGTGCCCGCATGAGATATGGCTTCCATCGCATACTCGACTGATCGGAACGCGTCAGCCTTTCGCCTTTCGAGGCATACGACACGCGTTCAAGAATGTGATCCTCACTTTGATAGAGCCTCCCTAGGATTCGATTAGTGGAGAAGTGAGAGGAAATGTGCGATACACGTACCCTCGGGAGAAAATATGGTTGTTCGACCTATTGTGGTGTTTTGAGCAAGTCAGTGGCAATAGGTGGAATCAAACACACTGTCATATCTTCGAGCCTGCACAGGTAAATTTCAGTACATGATATTATATGAAATGATTTAGTAGCCTATTACCATTGTGCTTTAGAGCCAGGAGTGGTTTGGATCCAAGTTTGGAAGTCGACCTCTTCATTCTTTTCTATTCAGGCGTCCGGTTGAGTTGTACGGCCCTTCTGCATGCACCCTGGCGATAAATTACTCTGCAAGTGCCACAAACCCGTCACGTTAGTATAGTTTAACATGATTTATGCTTTCATTCTCGCTCATTGCCTTGCAGTCGGCACCAGAGCAGAGCTCAAAATTCGTACGGCCAGTAGGTAGCCCTGTATACGGCATATCAATGAAGACTCACTATCTCAAGCTATTATTACAAGTGCTACAGGGCTTTCCTACCAGGGTGTTGCAAATTCTTTGGTAATTATACCACGTTTTCACCTCGGTCATACCAACTTGAGCCTGACAAGAATCTTTCACTCCAACTCATAGAGTGGGAATCACCTCCTCCTAGTCCACCAACTACGCCAGAAATGTCGTCGACTCGCCGCGATGAGCCAAACATGCCTGTAACTCCTTCTCGACGCCGAGTATACAATACCAGTGTAACCAACGACTCCCCACGAAGGATGCGTGCCATTATGAATGGGCTTACTGGAAGTTCGTCAGACGATGAGATGGGGGACTACCAAACTGCAGATACCAGCCTGCGATCCCCCGTCCGACTGGACAACCGTGCTATGAGCTCCGCTGCAGGCAAGAAGACCGCCGTCCTCGAATCTCGCTCCTCTACTAGCGCTGTTCACGACAATCGAAGAGCAGCTATCGACAATGCAACCATTGATGAGTACAATGGTTGGTCTGATGATCAAATGCGTCAAACCTATGTATACAGGGTGAACCAGCTCGACGTCAAAGATCGGGAGCTCAAAGCGAAAGATAAGGAGCTCAAAGCCAAGAACGAGGAACTCGAGGCCAAAGAGGAGCAGATCGAAGCACTGAAAGAACAGTTGAGGCTGCTAAGAGAGGAAAGAGATTATTTTTCTTCTCGCAGGAGTCAGCATCCATCCCCTTCGAAAACAGCAATGCAGGTGAGTAGTAAAGGCATATCTCACGCTTAGGCGACTACTAAATCACCACTCTCATGATAGACACCAAAACGTCACACCATTGCTGAACATACTGAACAGGAAATGGAGCCAGTACGGTCTCATTTTTCACCTATCACTCCCAATGCTAGCCTACAAAAGGCTGCGACAATGTGGATGTGATTCTTCTGGTACTTTGTCATTTCAACGGTATTTTCGATCTATAAGTGTTGATCTTTGTATCATATATCAACATGGCCACATTTCCAGCCCTCTAGCTCTGACACGACTTTTGCAAAATCCAAATCAAAGAACAATGAAAATTTATCGAATCAATATTTCCATCGCAAATCACAAAGGGTCCATGACGTTTCTCCTTGAAGCGATCTTCCGTAGCAATATCTGACTCCAAAAATGTACCAAACAAAGTATATCGGTTCGATTTCTTTTTCCTTTCGTCCATTTTTTTTTTCTTGATCAGGCCAGCCTTGACCGGTCACGGTGATTGTTAATATAAACTCTGTAAATAAT